TGGATGGATGGATGGATGGATGGATGGATGGATGGATGGATGGATGGGATGGATGGTGGCTTCACTCCTTCCCAAAAATAGTTTCATCAACGAAGGTAGTCATTCCCCAATTCGGGTTGACAAGTACCAAGTAAATGAACGCACCAAGCAGTGAGTGTCTTGCTTTGCTTCCCTGTAACCCGTGGCTTCGACTCCGACCTTCCGAAACGTCCAACGGGTGGCTCCACCAGGTAACCCAGGTAGAACTCACGGCCCACCTCGCGACGAATGAGACGATGTCTCGTGCTTTTCGGGGCTCAGGGAGGTCAGAAAGGATCCTGACTTGACCGCGCGTGGGGTCGGACCCGAATCCTGACTGGAGGTGGATCCGAACCAGTCCGTTTTGAGAGACCAAGGGTTGACGACTCTAGAACAAGCGAACAGAATCGAATTGTCACCAAACTCCAGGTCTTGACTCACGGCCGACGCCCCGTCAACCTACCAGGGAGGGTCGCTCGTTCGCGGCTCGTTCCGGGTTTTTGATGAAGCCAGGTGCCTCCAGGAGTTCCATTGGAGTGAGATGGCTGCTAAGAATAGACCCCTCAAGTGAAGAGGTCAACACAGCAGCAGCTGAGGTACCCAGAGCTTCGCTGCAAAGGAGCCGACACGCGGGCTGTGCTATCGTGGTTGGATGAGATGTGACCCGGGATGTGGAATTTTGCGGCACTGCTGGCGCACCCGACACAGGGCCACTGCTGGGCGTGGGGTTTCCACGAACACCACGTGGAGTTCACGCGGGACAAGGCTCAGAAAGGACCCAACCCTTTTGCGAAACTTCTGACTGTCACAACTACACCAAACCCACATGTAGCAGTTGGCTCGGGTCCATGAGCCTCTGGCTAGTGTCAATCAAAAAGTCTGTTGTTATATGGTTTCAATTGTCAGCTCCTACCGGACTCCTACTCCCCGCTAACAGCACTGAAGGTTCAAGAGAGCTTTCTTGGAGGTCTAGTCGGTTGTTGCTTCGTCTTCAACCAAAAATGTGAAAAAGGTCAGTGTGATGGAACCAGCCGCAAATCAGTGATTTTTGCTATATAGTATATAGAAAGAGACAAACAGATCCTACAACTGAAAAGAAGGGGCAAACTGCAAACAGTTTCTGTGGGGGTTATGTGGCGAGGTGAATGTGCACTCTTCAATCCAGTTTACAAGGGCATCCGCCCTTCTCGTTGCAAATCCGCTCCTCTCCACCGGCGTTTCTGCAAATTCACCCGCCTCCGCCATGGTCTTCTCCACGATAGGTTTCCAGCCGCGCCGCTGGACCAAGCCTGAACTGGCATGCTTGGGAGCGAAACAATCGTAGATTCCTGTGTTTTCGATGGGTTTGGGTATGTTTGGGTTCATTTACCCGTAGTCAACACGTTCATCGGCGCTCGTCGCCCAAAATGGTCGCAGCTTTGGACTCGGAGATACCTCCCTGAGTTTCAGAATAGATCCAGGCCCAGCTTGACTCGTTCGACCTGGTGACCCAGCAAGTTGAACTCTTAGGGCCCCCAAACCAACCCGAACCACGGCAGGGGTCGGACCTTCTCCACCACTGAACGCATTCGGGACAAAGGGATCCAAACCTGCCACCCTTCCCAAAGCAGTTGGGCCCAAATTCTTAGGGTCGAAAGTTTAATAGGTTATCCACGGCCGGGGTAGAAAAATGTCTCCTTGCGCCATCTTGTGCCTGTTTGGTGGGGAGGCGCTCCTTTCATTCTTGCAACGGGGTTTTCATGGCTTGGAAGGGCTTCAGTTCCGCCGGCCTTTGGGGTCCGAGCCGCGGAATGGATGTCCCCGATCTAAAGGGTTCGAGGACCTATCGAGTGAATCTTCTGAATCCGGACCGACAAGGTCTGAAACGGCCCCAAAACCGATGGAGTGGTCGACATCTGCGCTTCAAAACAGAATTGGACATCAACCATGGTCCAACATATGGATATGCCAAAACCTTGGGACCTTGATGTTGTATATGTTGAAGGCAGAAAAACACAGTGCCCCGATCCAAAACCTCCGACGATGCGACCGTGGCCGCCGACCGCAGTTGCTGTAGAGCAGTGCTGTACGACATGGTCGGCGGGGCTAGCATCGCGTTAAAGAGATGTGCCCAAATAAGAACCTCCCAAGTAAGAGATAGCAATCATGTTCAATGCTCGCCAGCGTACCCGTTCTCGGATCAAAAAGCTCCACGACGTGCTGGAAAGAGAACACACGTTCAATTCTTATTCTGTTGTTCTATTCTTGGTCACTATCCCCTGGAAGTTGACGCCCAAAATCATCGACCAGAAAATCATCCAAAGTTATCACTGGCAAACCAGGCTGCTGAGCCGATCCCAAGTATTGGTATGTGTTAAGGTTTTCCAAGGATAGTCCTCGGAGTTTGACCCAAAAGATATGTGAGCCAAGAGTGCTTGGAGGAATTGGACATGGGGGGCTTAATAATCTAGCGTCTACGTCATGCACAAACACATACTTGAGTGGCCCATCCACGACCCCATCCACTATCCACCGACCGATTCGTCCCGAACGTCGGACTGGGAGCCGCTGGCGAGCGGGGTGACACCTGCAGTCGGATTCACCGAAAATGAACATGGCCAACCTACCAGGGTGAGTTCTGGGCAACCCGGGTGCCATGACCTATAATCAACGTCCCAGCCCCCGGTGGGGTGGGAAGTGCCTTCCCTCGCCCCATCCAGCTCTGGGCCCCCAACCCCGCGCGGAGCGGGCGACGAGAGCGGTCAAGAGCTTGCTGGCCCTCGGTCGCATTCGTTGGGAGTCCCCAGAGGCCGGCTCCCTGCCGCCGGGACTTGGGTTGCCGGGACGTCACGGACGTCAAGGACGTTTGGGGACGTCGGGGACGTGACCCTTTCGGTGGTGAAGGAATGCAAACACCAACCCATACTAATGTCCATTGGCTCCGTGGGGGAGGGTAAGCGCCACGCAGAAGCTCTGAGGGTTAGTGGTTTATGCGTTAACGCTGCGATGCTTGCATCAGCCATCCTCTGACTGGCTGTGGATCTATACCCATGTTTTTCATCGCTCTAAGAGAATGCTTCGCGCTCTTGTCTTTTTTTACTCTGACAGGTCCCAAGCTCCCACCAGCGGTGAAAACAACCTCGGCGCCTTCTGCGATTTCCACATACCAGTGATGTCACACACTCATGGTTCAAGAGGATGTTCCAGTAATGTTCCACATAATGCCGAAAGAATTTGGCACACTTCTCAAATTTCTTCTCTTGCGTGCGCTCCTTATCAAGCTCTCCTTGTCAAGGGCTTCCCCCCACTGTCTCAAGCTCACTTTCCAGCATTCAGCCAGATGTTGTGAAATAAGATGCGCTCTCGGGCCTCTGTCAGCGGCTGGGCGAACTGAACAAGTGCCTTTCCGCTGTCTATCTTGGACAAACTTTAAACCGGTACAGACTGAATGTTGGTATACATCTCGGCACAGCAGATCCGTGCAAGGTTTTGGTTTCCATCAATGACGATGACCTCAGTGCCCTCGGCTCTTCCCAAACCAATAAGTTATATTTGTCTCTGCAAAGGGCAAAAATGACAGGGAATGTATCGCTCAGCGGGAAGGGTTTGTCACTGAGACACAGCCATTGTCACAGCAGCTGAAGCTTCAGCCACGCATCAAAGATGAGTTCATGTCCATGTGACAGCCCATGGTGCTCGAAGGCATGCACATAGCTCTCTTTCCGGAAGCTGGCGTGATGATGCAAGATGCGCTTGGTAAATTGATCATGCCATGCCCAAGTCACCCCAAAGCTGGGGCAAGGCGCTGCCATCGATCTTAGAATCTATGGAACCAAGTGTAAAGGCCTCTCGTATCTACTTGATCAATGGCCCAACCAAGCTTATATCGAGCTTTGCATTTCTTTCTGGCACAGCGAAGCGGCACGTGCTGGGCAGTGCCTAAGCCGCCACATGTCAACATGTGACAAGTTCGCGCAACAGTTGCTCTCACGGCCGGGTGACACACAAGACACGGAAGCTGTTGCGAAACTTCAATGGTGATTCTATCAGCGGTGGATTGCATCTGCGCCACCTGGTCTATAGACTGGTCTGGTAGCAAGGTTGTAGGATCTGCATGTTGCACAGCCCGTGCAATATCTGAAAATGCGAAAGGCAACATGTGTAACGCGCAAGCACGGTGACGACTGTTTAAGGTCTTGTGAGCAGTTTTGTAGCTTGGTTGTCTTCGTAGTTGCTGTTGACATCTGTCTATCAGGTCAACGCTCAACATTGTCTTCGAAGGTTTTATATATAATTATAGATTGGTTGATCAGTTGATGGCTTGATTGCTTGCTTACTGGCTTGCGTGTGTGCTTGCGTGCTTGCTTGTGTGCGTGCATGCGTGCGTGCTTGCGTGCTTGCTTGCTGGATGGAAGGATGACTGGATGGATGGATGTTGATGATGTTGTTGAGGTGATGTTGATGTCAATATTGCTGTCTGCGTTGCTCACTGACCTTGATGTGTTTGATGCCGATGATGTCGCTGATCTTCGTGCTGTTGCTGATGTTGCTGCAAAACGCGCCTCTGGACGTCAAGATGAAGGACGTGAAGGGACGTGACGTGATGTCGCGACAAGGACGTGGCCGCACTGGGACGACAACTGGTGGAGAACCAGGTCATACCCAAACAGGACCTGTGGGACTGGCCGATTTGCCGGGAAACGCCCAGGGGGTCAATGTATGGGCATATGTTGGGGTATGTAATGTATAATCAGGAGATCCGGAACCCATGCTGAAAGGGGTGCACGGTGGACTGCCTGTGGTCGAAAAGAGCGCTGGTGGATCTCGTGTTTTTATATAATTGTTTTTAGTTATGTTCACCAGTCTCATGAATGAGATGCGGCTTCCCACTGGCACCAGTTGGACAAGAAGGGCCATTGTTGATAGAATGACAAAGCAATCTGCAACACGCGTTCTGGCCAGTTCTGAACCCTGTTTTGATAGACAAGGGCCATGGAAGGGATGATGATCCAAATTGAATACAGGTCGATGTAAGTTTTTCACCTGGGACCTGGCAAGGGGTTATCTCCTGGGCGCTTGCAACATTCCGAGCTGGGACTCGTCTCGACGAAATCGACATGTGATCCGAGGTGACTTTAGGTCACTTTCATCGTAGACGGGCCATGGGGTGGTCTAGGGTTTGTAGTCTGGAACCTTCAACTTCACGAAGAACCAGCTGATGTCTTGGAGTGGTTTTGCATCAATGCTGTTGTTCATGTTTGTTTCCAAACAGGTCCTCAGGACAGGTTGCCACTGGCGCCCCAAACCCTGACGCCGCTGGCTGGGCCCTGACAGAGGTCCCAGAAAGCTCTTGGAACGCCGTAGACCATCCACCTCAGCAGGAACAGCTCGGGACACCTTCCACAAAGAATCACCCCGATGGATACCAGAGCCCCGATGGATGATCCCAAAAAGACCACCAGAAGCATGCAGGGCTCGGCGGTTTCGTCGTTGGAAGTGCCAGTACAGCAACTTAGCTCTATGACCACTCGAAGGGTCCAGGAAAGGATTGAATGTGGTAATCGTTGCTAGAAGTCACTGAGGTGGGGTGGTGGGTCTCAATTTGCTACCAAATTTGTAGCTCATGCAACTTAATTTGAATTCTTTGGCATATCCCAATAGCAACTATCGGCTATGGAAGTGGCCTGTAAACAAGAACTCAGGGTGCCCCGCCTTTCTTCATCTGCATGGGTCTATACACAGCATGGGGTCCATCAGCTGCTCAGCAACATAACCTTCATCCTCACGCGCCCCACAACCCTGACCAAGAGATAGGAATACCAGCGGTAAGTCCCACTTCAAAGGTGAAAAAAAGGTGGGAAACACCTGGGCCAAGAACAAGACCGTTTGCCGCGGGAATCTCTGTCACATGGGGTGGGCACTGAACCGCACAAACTTGTTGCACCTTGTTAGCACTTTCACAGTTTGCATGAAATTGCCGTTCGCGGCGGACGAAGTGACAAGAGTTGGTATGCCATGGTATGCCTATTGTTCCAACAGGGAGCAAAGCGTGGGTCTTACCACGTTGCAAAACTCATCCATTCGAAGCAATCGGAGGGCTATTCAGGCCATTCCATTGAATTTCATATCACAAATTAAGAAAGGTGCCCATGAAAGCGTCAGACATGATGAGCCGAGACATGACAGTCACATGGTGAATCGTTGAAAACACTTGAAAACCAAAGCATATTGCTGGTGTGAACATTCTCTTTCCAAAAAACGAACTGTTCATCAGGCCGACCTCCTCCATCTTCTTCCCAACACTCGCTTCTTCTCTTCCCAAACCTCGCGATGGCAGCGCAGCTGAGGCACCACCGACCCCGCAAAGCCATGAAGCGGTAGAGACTGCAAGAGAACCCACTGATCCTCATTGTCCCAGCGCCTCGGTGTCGACAAGACCGCCCGAGACCGCCCGAGCCGGCGCATTCCACAGCACCTCGCCCATTCCGAGCCTGTGGGGGGGGGGGGAATGGTGACCGCTCAAACCGGTTGCTTCGGGAAACTCTGGACACCCGTGTGATGGCTCACCCCCAAAACGATGGCTTTCCTGATCGATGTTCCCGTAAACGAATTCCAGGGAAAATAGACTGAAACCATCTGAAACCCATTGGTTGGGAGGTGCCCCATTATTAGAAGACTGAGATTACATGGACACCCCATGGCACACACCAGGCCTGGCCGTTGCAAGCCACTGGCAGTCCCAAACACTTGCTGCCGGAGTTGGGGGATCGGCTCGGTCGCTCTGAGTGACCGGCTCCCGTCCTTTCAATGTGCCCAGAAGCGAAAATGGCCCGACCCGAACTCGGCCAATCCTTGGGGGGGTCGGGACCCGAATCCTGACTGGAGGGGTCTGGGGCTTCTCACCAATCCTTAGGTTTTGAGGGACCAGTCAGCTGTGAACAAAGCCTGGGTGGGAATATTTGGGATCGACCGTCTCTGAGCCACCCGGGCCCGTAGAAGCGCAGCACCACCTTGCCCGAGCTCACCTACGAGGCTCGTGTGTCGATGACAAAAAAGGATCCTTATGTTCAGGGAGATTCAGGGAACAAGTTAAACATAAACTGGGAGAAAGGGCAGAGTGGGTGAGTTCATCTTCCAGGCTCGGAAAAAATTCTCAAGTTTGAGACCAACCCGTGGACAAATTCACACCAGCCTGCTTTGAAGTGTTGGACCCCCAAATAAGCCATGGACATCTTCCCATGTCACTTGGCCCAAAAGTATTTGCTGATCCAAATCTCCAACTTGCCTGACCCTTGATCTGGCTTCATCCAACCTGTGCAAGAGATCCAAATTGAAGATATTAATCTCTACATTACATAGATCTCCTCCAACTGCAGACGAAATGCTCTTTGTTAAGCATCATCTGCCCTTTTCGTCTCCACACCGCAGAGACCAACGAAAAACGCCCGAGACGGGTTTTGGCGCCTCAGCTGCAGCTGTGGTCTCAACACCTGTCGAAGCACCTGGAGGTTGTCAGCCGAGGTTGGTTTTGGCCTTGTGGGCAACGGGAGAGGTTCCTCCAAGCACCAACACCCCACAAACCATGGTGCTTTCTAGACTCTACTGCCAGTACCCGACTTCACAAAGAACCACCTGCGACTTTTAAGTCTCCAAAAGCCACCAGAGGAGACCTGTTGGAGGATGCTGGTATATAATATTCTGATTGTGGATTTCACGGGAACCCCAGGTCCCAGGTCGAACGCAGGTGGGCATGCGAGTCTTCGAGCAGTTTGACAGAAAAGGCCAACAAATAGACCTGCATGCTCTTTTCTTCTGATACAGTAGTCCCTGGCAAAGCCCCTCCACGAGGGGCCATGAGTTGTTTGGGAGATGAATGGCCTCCAGTGGCCTTCATGCCTCCAGATGCCGTCATGCGCCATGAAGGGTAAACCGCAATGTTGCGCCCTCCGGATGTTGGACCGAAGAAATTGATCCAACGGGCCGGTTTGACCACTACACTTAGAGTGACCCTTATGGTACTTGGTTGGTCCTGCGCCAGTGCACGGTTGGCCCAATCTGGACGTCAATGCCCAAACAAAGAGTTGATTCATACCAAAAATAATGCATCTTTTGTGTCGAATCGAACAAACTCATTATAACTATAAATAATAGTTTTCTAGTTTTTAGAAAATACATGAATGCATCATGATGCATCATGTCATACCTTCATGTCATACCTACCTGTCATGCCTTCTTCCATAGGCGTCACGTCACGGCATCGGTGAATCCAGGCGTCCTCCTGCCTCCACCTGCTTGCTCGTCGCTCGCTGCCTCCACTCAGGCGGATGTGAATATGGCACTAATTTGAACATACAAGAAGCACATCCGGACCCTCCGTGGGGTTGTGGGTCTTCCTATGACCACATAAGTCACACATAGTCACAGATTGGGAAAATCCTCGGGACCCCACTCCTTGGGGGGTCCCAAACTGACCCCAACTGCAAACCGACCCATTTTCATGGCCGACCCAGTTTGTCAAACTTCAGGAGCCAAGTAGAAACTCTTCACCTCGAAGTAGTTCCATTTTTGCCATGTTTAAAACCGCAAAGAAGTGCATGAGACCTTCGGTCATACCATCATACCTGTGGTAAACCTCCACACCCGCGACCCTTCGATCTGCCCGATCTGTCGCCTGTGAGGCTGCGCTCGAGGAGGACTGGGACGCAGCGTCGGACGTGTCCTCCGCAGTGAAGCCCTTCTGCGCCGTGAGCAGCACGGCCAGTAGGATGGCCCTGGGCGTGATCAAGGCAGCGGTGGGAGAGGACCCACGCACCACACACCCACACACCCACGCGCCCCACATACAGGGTGGCCGCCCCACCTGTGGTGGGTGGTGAAATGTTCGTGTCACCTCCGAAGAGAACCGAACGAATGAAAGCTGGACGAAACGAAGTGACCTGGTCTTGCGGTGGGCCTCCCGTTCCGGTCTGCGAACGTAGCAAAGATGGGTGGGCCTCCCAAATGATGCAGGTAGTCTAAAGCGCAAAGCAGTGAAGTTTGGCTTGAAGCAGCTGGACAAGGTAAGACCCTCGATTTCTTGAAATTGATGGTCAAGCTGTCTGACAGCTCAACTGGTCAATGCCCTTAAAAGAAAATGTGTTTCAAACTGCTCAGCAACAAGGATTCCGTGATTTCGAGCCGACCCACTCGGTCAAATCGAATTTCAACTAAGTGCGATGTCATTCCAACCACAGGATGTTCATGTAGAAAAAAGTCTTAAACCGTATAATCAAATAGACTATATATATTTTTTTTTTTTTGGGCTAGGTGATATTTCCTCTACTTTCCAAACGAGTCCTTAGAATCTCTCCTTTCATCATCTCACTTGCCAAGCCAGCGCTGCTGTGTGTCCGCACTGTCCAGCGATAGCGATGTCCAAGCCAGCGAGCAAGCCACTGGCCTCGTCGACGAAAGATGGAAGGGAAACTACTTTCAAGGAGTGCTGTTAAGTCCCATTTTTTGCATGTTTAGTCCCATCCAGTGAGTGGATGAGACAGGGGCACCCAACTCCTTCCTCCGTTCGGAACCGGCAACCCTTTGGAACTCCTGGTGCAAAAACATACAACACACACACAGAAAAGAATAAACGAAAAACCTTTCATTCAGCCGAATGCGTGGAAGTGGAAAAACGGTTGGCCGTCCGTGTTGTTTTGGCCGTTCGTGGCCGTCCGGGATTCGTGGTGGATGTGAGTGGCCATGCCAAGCTCTTGCGGCCCCAACTCTGGGATTATTGGGACCAACTTTGGCCATGCCAAGACTTGTCTGGGATTATTGGGACCTTTGGGAGTCCAACGTTTATGATATAGCTCCTGTATGAAAACAGAAGCAGTGAACAAAGAGGCCGCACCCTAGACTCTCACTACATGACACTACCCAACCAGGGCAGGGGGCAATGACAAAAGGAGTACTTGAGGCAGGTCACTTTCATGAAAGTAAACCTCTGCAGGGTGTGTTGACCATCCTCGTCCACGGCTTTGGACTCTGTTTCGCTGATCCGCAGATATCCGCAGGAGCTTCAGCCATGCTGAAAACGAAAAAACAAACAAACATTTGCAAGTCAGACACGTTTCTTCTGGTGCATGTTGCTTCGTTTTCCGCTTGGTGTTTGAACATCAACTGGTACGTGTTTCACTCATCGCTCGTCTGGTCCGGTGCGGAACTGCAAAGTGAGATCACAACTGCATCCGAACGACCCGAAGCCAGCGGCCATGGGTTTCATCGGGTTTCTCACAGGTGTGCCAGGTGTCCCCCCCTGTCCCAATCACACACTTAGTTCAGGTTGTGTGCTCGTTTAGCTCAAAGAGGTGGTGATGTGAAAGTTTCAGGAGCTCAGAGCTGCCACAGATCTCATATATGGCGTGAATCAGCATGTGTGGCCAATTCCTTCCTCCTCAGCAGCAGCACCTCAGCAGCAGCAACTTGCAGCAGCATCTTGTTGCTGAACTGCCACCGTTTGACAGTTTGCACCTCGTGAGGAGCCACACAAAGTAACTTTTTTGTGAACTTGTTACACACTTTCCGTACAAAAAAAACCTTTTCTCAGGTGTCCACCCACCGATTGTCCGCTGAAACTCGGACTTCCCCCCCCCACCGATTCTCCGCTCGCTGCGACGACCTGTCCCCCTAGCCCCGTCCCCCCCCACGGATCGCTTCTGGCGGTGGGCCGTGCTCGTGAGGGGCCCAAAGAGGTCATCGTCGACCAGGAAGATGTCGGGCACCACCTGGCCGCGAACACCACGCGGCAGCGTGGGATTGCACGCGAACACGGCGTGTGTGTGTGTGTGTGTGGCCGGAGGCTGGATTGAAGAGACAGATCCGGAAGAACCCGGGTTTTTCAGGTGATCACGGAAACTTTAGGGGCCGAGCCTCCTGAAGCCTCCTGAAGTGGATATCTGTTTTTTTACTCCAACACCATGCTCCGGAGGTACAATCGGCCCGAAAGGCGGTGCTCGATTGGGTGACCGGTTTGGGCTCGGACGGGGGGAGTCTTCGTAGTACGGATGAGGCACAATCCAAGCGAGAAGGGTCGTTGATTCCTTTATCAATGAAACGTGATGCCAATCATCACACCATCCGACTGGGTGCTCTGCGGCCCTCACCCGGCGATGGACGCCGGTGCGGACCGACCGCGCCTCCTCGCGCGCTTCTCGCAAGTCGCGCGTGGAGACCTCGAAGCTCCTGGAGACGGTGAGGAACCCACGGTTGGTCGATGCGGCATGCGTCGGCTTCTCGGATGTGGCTGTCCAGTCCTTGGCTAACGGATGCTAACGGTTATAAAAAAAAAACGTCTAAACCGGACTACCTATAAGGGTCTGGTTTGAGTATGCCGAAACTCGGGCAGTCTTCTCGGTTGATCGACGTGTGTTCGCCGCTCTTGCGACCTGGGTCCCATGTTTTGACAAGGCAGGAAGCACGAGTGAGAAGGAGCGAGGACGAGCAAGGACGAGGGGCTGGCAGGATGACTTCATTGTTCCATGTTCCATCTTCGCGAAGCTCCAAATCCAAGCGGGCAATCTGCTACACTCTGACGGACACATCACCATGGTTACGTGGGTGGCATGGTCTCGAGTTTGAAAGAGGACGTGACTTGCCAGCATGTTCCTCCGTGAACGGTGCGGGGGGGGGCGTTTTCCGTTGTGATGTGATAGAACTCGTGTTCGTCTGTGTTTTGGTCACGTCAGAGAGTACCAGGAGTGCCAAAAAGAACTCCCCAGGAGTTCCATGTGGTTTCGTCCCATCCAATTGAGGCGTCTGTGCTGACGAACACATCCGGTCTCGTCGTTGGGCAGAAAAGCCGTCGACATTCCATGAGAACGGGGCATTGAACCACCCCTTTTCACCCCTTTTCAACCGCCCGAATGTATGTATACCAACTGCTTCCAACGGGTCACCAATGCACAACCCTACCATCCCCACCCTACATATAGGATAATATAGGTCTCCGCTAGGCACCCATTGAAAGTGCTAGGTATGTGAATCGCATACATCATATTCTATGGATTTCTATGGAATATAGAAGGTTTCACAACCCACCCCCCCCAAAAAAAGACGATGCAGGGCGGCCCGCCAATCGTCAACTGAAGGACCCCAGGGTCGATGCCTACCGTTGTGCACTCTGGGTATCCCGTCCTTTGATCAGGAAACCTATGCCCCGAACGAACTGATGAACAGTGTTCTTCTGCCAAGTTGGAGGTTTCATTTTTTCAGGGCTGCAGCATCCGTTCGCGATGAGGAGACCATAGATGTCAAGCTTAATGAGTCCTGTGCTTCGCACAGAAGACCTTTGGTCAAAGGACCTCTGGGTTGACCTTCGCAGGATCGTCACCTGCCGTCACTCGCAGTCGTGGCCTTTGAAGCTGAGCATCACGATCGTCGATGAAGGATTCTTCACGCATCACCTGCGACGAAGTCTGTTTAGTAATTACGTGCACGGTGGTGCTTTTGTAAGCCCAGGAAGTTCCACAAGAAGGATTCCTATGCAAGGACACGAACTAATGTGACGGACACCCCTGAAGCCTCTGAGGGCTAGTAGGTCCGCTGAAGGGGGATCTCGACTAAGAAGATTCACCGAGCAAAGGTGTTGTCCTTTAAGCAACACAGAAAGAGATGTTTCAAGGCAGGATCAACTAACTCTCTCTCTCTCTCTTTCCCTCCCTCCCTCCCTCCCTCCCTCTCTCTCTCTCTCTGAGAGAAGGATGCGATGTGAATGTCAGGATAAAAGCGATGGTGATCCAGCTTATCAGTGCCCAGGACCCACGGGTGGGATGCAACGGCAGCATCTGTACGCTCCATGACGCTCCATGGGACTGGAAGATATGCCGCCCCATTAACCTCCCAAACCACCCCTGGCCTGATCCGCAAATATGCTAGTCCCATGGCGTGTCTGCAGACACGCCATGATTCAGACTAGCCAACCCAGAACTGAAGCTAGCCATTTCAGCTGTAGAGGCATTCCACCTGTCAGACCCCTTGGTCCACAAAGGTCCGACCAGCCATCGACATATGGCTACGAAGAGTGCGGACTCGACCTGTAGAATTTCCCACGCCAAAGGCACGGCAACCCCCTCCCTAAGGATCCAGTCGTACCTTCTGAGAAGGTGGGACTGGGCTGGGTGCCAGGAGGGTTCAAAAACCCTTCTGAAGAGGTACGACTGGATCCCGGCCTGACATGCATGGATTTCACCAATCGCCTCGCCAAGAGAAACACCCACACCCCACAGGCCACGAAAACACCTTCCCCACAGGTCACCACGAACTAGCTCGACCCCCAAAGCCGAACGCGCCGAGAAACCCACAGAGGATGCCTACACCAATTTCGAGCACACTGGAACCACGCACCCATACACGCACCCCCCAAACCTGCCTCAGCTCCGCGACGTCGTCGCGGACGGTTCTTTTTGAAACGGTCCGCCGGTCCAAACCGCTGGTCGAGACTCTGCCTGTTGCATGAGGTCTTGTAGACTCTGCTGCAATTGCTGCAAGGGGCCCTGCTGACTGGGCTCCGCCACGAACAGCTGATCCTGCACTGTCGAGGCGAGGGAGTCGAGGCGAACGTGCCGAAGACTCGAACCTCAAAGACCGAGGTCCAAATGATCCCGAGTCGATCGCGGAGTTCCGGTGGAAAGCATAACACCTCTTCATTCCTCTTCCTGGTTCTTCCAAATGACCGAACTTGATCTCCCCAGATTTGAGGTCACTGAGGCCTGTAATAGGTCACTTAGGGACTCCAAAAAAGTCGTTCTGGAAGGTCTAAGACGGTCTGAGAGACGTTACATTGACGGTCAAAACGGTCAAAACGTTGTTTGAGAGAGGCCGGTCGAGTTCTGAGAGTTGCCGCGTCTGCGAACACGACAACGGCAACTGCAAACGAAAAACATCAACGATGAGAGACGGAAGACCCGATGTCCATGATCGAAACACGTGACCATGTGCGGGTTCTTCGGTTCTTCGGGAGAGCAAACAGTTGGATTATGTTTGGGCCAGGGACAGTTGGATAAGCTGTGGGTGTGTGAAAGACCCGCAGAAAGATATGAACCCATCTGAATTTGACCACGGAGATGATATGAATTGATATAAGATGATCAAATGGTTTGAAACTTGGACAAATTTCGTCAAAAAAATATTATGGCTCTCGTCACTAAAGGACGCCATCTTGCAGATCACAAATGTTGGGCCTGCACCCCTAGTTTCGAAGCCCAACAGAAAGGTCGGTCGGTTGCTGCAACCTACCCCTGAACTCTGAAAAAGAACAAACAGCCAACTCTGGGCCAACCCCCTGAAAAAAGAAAAACAACTTGACCGGATGCCTTTTGGCTTGCTCATGTTTGCTCTGAGCTCCGGGCACCTAAGATCCTGACGGTCCTGCAACCGTGAAGTGATGTCCACAATCCGCAGGGCTTCTTGCCTGCACAGCACACGCACGCAGGAAGCCAGGAACCATGTGCACTCGCAAAACTACCCCCTTTCCAGGCAGGATGGAGGTGCCTCCTTTCCGGGCAGGATGGGAGGCTGAACACTTGTCTCTCTTCGCGAGGTGTGTGTGTGTGTGTGTGTGAACATCCTGGAATCAAGGGTAGATCGTTGGCTCCTCCTCAACAAGCAGGGGTTGGCAGCAGGAAATCGAGAGTGTGCCACCAACACCCCGGCGTACCTGCGTTATGCCTGAGAACTTCCTTAATGGCCCCGTTTTGAACTAGCCTTACTTTGCAGCCGTTCCCTCACGGCAGTCACGCATCTTGGCTCCTGCCCCGGCCTCTTCGAAGAAAAACATTCTTCCAAACAATTCCAAACCCACCAACACATAACTACGGCACTTTCCGAGAAGGTGTTGTCAGCAGTCCCGAAAACTTCTCCAACCAAAAAGACAGGCACGTCATCTGGACGTGGCAGTTCCGCGGAGGGATCTTCTGAACTTCTTGTGTATCGATTGTCCCTTCGAAGATGGGAGAACTTGCTTCGCTCCGACGCACACCGCTCGACGGTTTTGGTGCTCCAAAGTCACAAATCCTCAAGCACGGGATCCAGCACCCCGGCATCCAGCGATTAGGTCAAAGTCAACTGTACAGCAGGAAGAAGTCAAACTGGCCGCTGGACGTTCTGCCAGGGAGCCAGAAGCCAAAAGGAACCCAAAACAAACAGTTCCAAGGTGCTCTTGTAGAGGCCACCGAAAGGCAAAAAGGACAAAGCAAAAGGTTGAAATGGGTTTGCAAAAAGTGACTGGGCCAAAAAGCCGTCCTGGAGTCACCAAGCAAAATAAAAGGCGTTGGCAGGGGAAAGCCACGACGTCCAACTCGAGCAACTATAAGATTATGTAAGTAATTGAACCGAATGCTTAGCTGACTCGACTGCGACATATGCCGAGCTCCATGATCGTGAACGTTTGGACGATGTGTTCCACGAAAATATACGAAAATTGGATCCCATCCCATCGTTCTTGTTGGAACTAGTGCTACCCCTTTTCTTCACTCACACGACACCACCAGTCACCACGAGTCACCACGCCTCAGATCCTCCTTCAAGCGGCTGTCCGTCGCCAAGGTGCCCGTCTCCTCCTGTGGCGGCTGTTGGGGCGATGCTGGGGCGGAGCCATCGCGCTCTTCGTGGATCAGGTCAGAATCCATTGGAATTCACGATGGAAATCCAAGACCAGCACCAATAGCACCATGTTGATTCTGCAAACCAGTTCGGAAAAACACGGAAAGCGGAGCAGCTGCATTTTATTGCTGGGTAGTCGGACCTCTTTTTTTCATGGCTTTAACGGTGTTGTACGTACACTACGCAGAAGACCACCTGCCCAAGTCGAACGGCAGAGAAAACAAGTATATAACATTACACTTGTCGGACCTAAGTCTGTCGGGTTTTTACGATGTTATACGCACATGACGCAAAAAGACTACCTGCCCAAGTCAAACGGCAAAGAAAAACAGCCAAGTGGACGAACATCGCCGCAAAAAAGTAAAATAACAGCAGCAAAGCCTTCAACATAGATCCCACAGCCCCAATCACTTCCAACATACCTCCACGAGAAGCCCCAACAGAGCCCCAACATTGGGCGAAACGTGCCAACATGGAGAAGGATATGCCCCAAGAATGCACCAAGATCGCCGAAGATTGGTGCAAACATGCCCCAAATTTGACTGCCCATTGGAGCAAGCTTTCGTAAGCAACAAAAACGACAAAAAAACTGTCAAAGCCACCTTTCTTACACTTGTCGGACCTCATTTTCATGGATTTATGGCGTTTTAACTTACGCACAGTACGCAAAAAACCACCTGCCAAGTCAAACAGGGCAGAGAAAAAGCAGCCAAGTGGACCAACATGGCCGCAAAACATAACAGCAGCAAAGCCTTCAACATAGCCCTGATCTAGACCCCA